CTTGGTTCCCTGTATCCCTGCTCACAGTCCTCTGGTCAGCTCTGGCTCTGCCAGCCCCAGACACTGGTCTTTCCCCAGGGCCCAGGACTCTCCATGTATGCGGCACTTTCACACCGCCTGTGTTAAGTTGCAGACTCTCAAATCTACCATCATCTGGCCAAACCTTTCCACTGAGCTTAAAACAAATATCCAAGCTCTGACCACTCACATGTCCTCTGCAGAGGGGACCTATAGACACCTTCACTCTCTAAACCAGTGGTTCTTGACCTTCCTAATACCACAATGTATTTTCATTGTTACAAAGGGGTCACGACCCACAGGTTGAGAACCGATGCTCTAAACCCACACTCTGCCTCTCCTGACAGTCCAACTGCATCTGAGTCCTAACTGCAGACATCCAGCCTTATCTTTCAGCTGCGTCAATCACCCACCACCCTGGCCCCACAGCACCTCAACTACTCCCTGGCCAGGTCCACAGTCCTCTCCCCAGCCTAGTGGTTCTCAAACTGCCCTGCTGCACTTGAAGCAGTCTGCAACCTGCTCCGGGCTGCATGGTCCAAAGGCCTTAGAATTTGGCTCCCTGCTGCCAGCCTGGCTCTCTTAAAGCCACCAGAGGAATGGCTTTAAAATGAAAATCTCACCAGGTCTACCCCCAGCAGCTCTGCCCAGAAGTAATCCTCAACCAAGGGGCACACTTAGTTGTAACAGTGACTGGGGTCACTCCTCCACCTGCTGCCAGAAACTAGAGATCCTGAGCATCTTGTACCTCAGAGAGAAATCCCTCAAACTCCTGAGCAACTCTGAAGAAGGCCTGGGACCCTTCTTCCCTCTAATGATGTGAACCCTCTGAGTTCTGGCTGGACCAGAGGCCACCCAAACAGGGATTATATCTTCCATCCTAAGTGCGTTCACATAATTATGTTCTGGACACAGGGACACAAGGGACATGACATACACAGCTTCAGAGTACATCCTTAAGAGGAAGCTGCTTGGCCTCCACACACTGGAATGCAGGTGTAGGTTACCTGTCCTCACCACACAGATAGCAACAAGCAACAAGACAGAGGAACCTGGACGACAGCCGCCCTGCCCAGGCCCACCTGCCAGGCTGCTGGGTGAGAAGTAACTCTTCACCCTTCTTAAGTCATGGTTAAACTGTCCGTGTTGAGGCAGTCAACTGAATTTTCTGGTTCCTCTCCATATTATTTCTGGAAGATTCACTTAATCATGAGAGCATATTTTTCTAACACCAACTCATACCCAATTTTATTTCTACTCTTCACCCTAAACCCTGTGGTTTCACTAAGATAAGTAGCTATTATATTTAATAGGAGAAATTCTGGCCATCATCAATTTAAGAATTAATAAAAATTAAAAAATAAAACAATTTACTTAAATTTTCATTTTAACTTGCTGAATTTCTTACAATCACTTCAAGTGCCATAGGCTGAATACCTGCTATGCTTAAGGTCTTAAAAGGAGGAATCAGAAGAAGTGTCTGCCTTCAGAGAACTTGTGATTTAGTATAATGGGTGTGTGGGGAGAGGGGCAAAGGTGGGCATGCTGCATGTAAAAGAAACAAAATGAAAGTTCTATTACAACAGAAAAAAGAGTAACTCTGAGAAAGAAGAGATAATGCGTTTTAGGCATTCAGTTCAATGAATATTCACTGAGGACTCACACATACAGCCCTGGGTTTGGTTCTGAGAAATCAAAAACTAATGAGACGCATCCTAACCTCTGCTGTCAAAATTTACAGACAAGATAGAAAGACAGGTAACAAATAACAATACACAGTGAAAAGTACACAAGTTGGTACAAGACATCAAAGTGAAACCAAAAAGAAGTGACTTGGCACCGCAGGTCAAGAAGGTGCACGGAAAGGCCTCTTGGGGGGGGCAGGAGCCCCCAGGAAGGTGGGTCAGCACTACAGAGCCACAGAGGCACAGCAAGGGCATCCTGCAACAACGCAGTCTGAAGGTGCAGGCAAACAAAAGGGCCAGGGGGTGAGTGGTGGGAGGTAAAGCCGGGACACAGTACCAACTGCTGTTAATAAACTGGTGCAACCGTCCTGGCAAAAGGGAACAAGCACTGGACATTCGTACTGACCTGCTGGCTACTCACCCTCTCAGCTGCCTGCCATCTCACCCCAGCTCCTGAAGGCAGCAAGGTGCAGTCCCAACACACATTCTCATTCCTAAATACAACTGCCAAGTTTGGCTTAAATGGGGACCTTTGAGCATCCTCCCCCAGAGCCTAGACTCAGTTTTAGGTGTACAGGGGTCTTAAAACAACTGAGCCCCATCGAGAAGAGCCCCAAGTCTTCCAAAAGAATCCCCTAGCAATACCCCTCCCAACTCTTATTTCTCTTAAAGCGAAGAAAATAAGAAGAAACATTTGATTGTGTCTATTGTTTCCCACCGAGAGGCACCTCCCATTCCCAGGGTGCACTGTCTCCATCACCATCTGTGTCTCACATGCTTTATGTCCACTGGAAACCACGCCCTGGGACCACTGTCCTGCTCCAAGATGCTCAGAAAACTGCTGCTCCCAGAAGACCGAAGGGGGTTAGGTCAGAGAGACAATGTTTAATACACATTTGTGCACACACAAAAAAGTGGCACCCTCCCAGTTAAAAAACCCTGACCGGGGACAAGTAGAGAGGAAGTATGGGGTGCAGTCACCCAGCTGGACTTGGCTGCACAGGATGTCACTAGCCACATTAATGGTAAGAGCTATTAATATGGATTAAATGGGGGAGACATGTAATCTTACAAAGCATGAATCTGTTTTTGCAAGATGGAAGGTGTTTCTAGGAGCAGAGACACACGCAGATACATAGGGAAAAGCAAGCTCTTAATTTCTGGAGGAACACGTGATGCCCACATGCCTCCTGATACCATCTCTGATTTCACAACGGGGGGTGATCACCAAAGCCTGCCTGAGCTACATCCAGTCAGTGCTTGCCTGGACCCAACTCAGGTACTACTGATCATTCAGTTCCCTGCAGCGGCCTGCACCCGGCCACCACACTAGTCCCTCTAGCAGACCAGACAGAAGAAGCTGGCCAGTCAAGGGTCTTGCTGTGTGTCTGCCTCGAATGAAATCCAGAAAGGTTTAGTAGCAGAAAATTTCTAGAAGTTAAGTTTCCAGAAAAATAATTTTAAACTCATCAAGCTGCTTCTATCTTTGATTACCAAAAACATCTATAACATCTAAATCTTTCCACTCCCTTGAGAAAATATTATGAGCCTCCAGATAACCAAGAGAACCAAGGTGAAGTCTATATGTAAACGTTTAAAGATTAAGCACATGAAACCTTATTCTCGGAAGCTCTTTGCCTGAATACCATTAAGTCTGCTTGGTTTCATTAATATTTCCGGCCCTTTATTTTCTAGCACCCACCAACAGAAAAAAGCAATCTGTCAAACACATATGTCTCTTGTCAAAGAGTTCTTTCCTGAGAAAACAGAGAAATGGCATTTATCTACAGACAAGCACTTTTGTCTTGAAGGCCATAGCAACGTGGGGCAGCATTCCTGGAGGTTTTATTTCACTCATCTGAAGAAAGCACCTATAAAGCATTTCTCCCCAGACCGCCAGCGTTATTCAGAGCAGCTTTAGATTCTGTTCATGCCTATTTTAAACATTATTAAAATGTACCTGTATGTGTAGATTTTTCTCTCCATAATCCTTCTGGGATATTACATTATAAATCAAATCAAAAGTTCAATTAATGACATCCAATTAAAAAAACAGATTAAGAGACTCCTAGAGGAAGCACTGCACCAACTTTAATGAAAATGTTATTTCAACACGAAAATTGCCTTAGAACTTGTTACCAAAATTTTGAATGTTAATTACTTCTATTTTAAGCTTTGCTTTTAAAGAGCTATTTCATCCACTTCTTTTTATCATACTTCATGACAAAGCCATGATAATCCCACATAATTACATAATTTTCTTAAATTAAAAAAAAATACAAGGTTAACAATTAAATTCATGCACTCATCCTAGAAAAAGTGTTAACTCACTGCTGAATATCACAATGGCCACCTTTGTAGTACTCCCTTGAGGAAGCTCTTTACAGACACCAGTGTCTAATCTACCCTTCAGAACAATTTTGGAACTTTTTTCTGGAAAGACTATCAAAGCTGTCACCAAATGACCCACAAAAACGTGCAACAACAGTAACGAATGCCACTCAGCAAGACACCGCGCCACATCAACACAAACACAGCTGTGAGACACTGATTTACCAAGGTCATGGAACCTCACGGAGTTTGTGCATGGCTGCCAACATTAAGGACACAGTGGCAAGTTTGTGAACTTAATTGTCAGACCTTCAGATGACAGAAGGTCTGATGGCCATTCCAGAAAAAGAGTTCCAAAATGGCTCTGAAGGACGGACTGGGCGCTGGTGTGAGGGCATAGCTTCCCAAGGGGGAGTAGTTCAAAGGTGACTGCGGTGATATTCAACAAAGAGTTATACAGCTACAGCACTTTTTCTAGGATAAGCTCATGAACTTAATTGCCATGCCACGTATATACAATAACTTAGAATATGATGCTTAGCATTATGAATTAAAGCATTTTTCAGTAATAGTCAATATTTTTTAATAGTCAATATTAAAAAAGCAAAATGAGTCAGAAGAACTATTCTTATTTAAATAAAATTGCTTCTCCACAATCTGAGTGCTTTGGAAACATAACCGTATCAAGAAATACATCAATTGAAGGCAGCAGATGACCCAATACATGGTGGCATGGTGGCGAGGGTAGGGGAATGAGGGATGGGGAGAGAGGAAGACGGGGGGGGGGGGTCACAGTGTATGGCACACCTCTTGGGGGCGAGACACAATTATAAGAGGGACTTCACCTAACAAATGGAATCAGTGCAACCCAATTCTTTGTACCCTCAATAAATCCCAAGCAATAAATAAACAAGTAAATTGAAAAACATACATCATTAGCAGATACCTCAAACCATCTCCACGTACCTGGGTAAGATTTGCTGCCTGCTTTAAGATGCTTTTTTTCAATTGCTCTGCTCTCTTGGCATGAAAAGAGTTACTTTGACTCTGGATGACAAATACAATTTCTTTTAAGTCTAGAACCAAAGAAAAAAAAAAAACAAAGTTTTCAGGTATTTCTTAAATTTTATCGACATTTTGAAATAAACTTTATAGCAACTGAAAAAAACAATAGCTATAAGGCATGCCTTCAGGCAATAATCTCTTAGGGGAAAAAATCAATTTATATGTAATTCTAGAGATAAAATCGCCTCCCTTTTTAACTGACTTCCAAAACTTCCTTCCTAGAAGTTAGCAAGTCAATAAGCTGACTGTACTCAACCAAGTGCACGGTACCAAACTGTGAATCTGCTCCTGCAGGTGTCAAAAGGAAGGGCTGTAAACGGATGAAAACGTCTAGAAGGCTCCCGGTTGCCGAAAATCTCATGTTTACAAGGAGCTTCTTAACAATTCCCACATAATCCTACTTTGTGCTGCCACCTGTTAGGAGCTGAATTAGGTTCCCCAAAATGCATATGTTGAAGTCCTAACCCTTCCTACCTCACTCAGAAGGTGGCTTTATTTGGAATCTTTACAGAGGTAATCAAGTTAGGCTTGAGTGAGGTCATTAAGGTGAGCCTTAATCCTATCTGACTGACGCCCTCATCAAAAGGGGAAACCGGACACAGAAACAGACATGCGCAGAGGGAAGATGGCTGGAGTCACATGAGGAGGCGGTCATCTCCAGGTGAGGGAGAGAGGCTGGAACACAGTCCTCCCTCACAGCCCTGCCAACCAACATCTTAACCTCTGACTGCTAGGCTCTAGATTAGTGAGACAATAAATCTCTGTTGCTTAGGCCACAGTCTAGCAGCCCTAGCTCACTACTACCTCAAGAATTTTCTGGGTGGTGCTTTAAGGTGACGGGCCACAGTGATTACCTATACCCCACAAGTTCACAAGGCTTTGCAAATAAATAACTCCATAATCCTTACCCTATCTCACAAGGCACCAAGCCAGGATTAAGTGTTATCGCCAGGAAACTAATCACAACAATTCCATAGCAGCAGGGCTTTACCAAGAAGTACTACATAGGAGCCCATCTGCACCAACACACCAGGGGCATCTACCAGCCCACGAAGAGTCTTGCTTCACTGTAGCCTGATTGGCACAATGGTGGGCAGGGAGGAGCATGTCCTGCCCACTTGGCTGGAGAAGACCAGCAGAGGGCTTGCCATCCCAGGTGGCTGCTCAAGCCACACATTAGGCCTCCCAGGTTCTGAACTTGTAATGAAACAGAAACAGCCATCATGTCAACACCCTGCCACCAGACACATAGGTGGCAGGACGCAGACGGCACATAAATTGTAGCCCCCAGCCAGGTTTAAAGCAGATCCAAGTGGGGCCCTTTCTCCACTACAAGTCTTTCTCTTCAATGCCTCAGCTCAAGGACACTACTGTGGTTTTAATTTCATTCCTTTTTATTGTTCTTATGTTCAATTCTGTAACTCCATTCATTTACTCACTCAAATATTCATCCAACAGATAGTTCCACAGTGAGCTATCCAGATGCAAAAAATAATATAAAATGCTCTTTGGCTAAAGCTCAATTAAAAATGTAAAGGGAAATGCTGAACAACCCACTGAATGTGACCTAATTCCTTTCCCTTAGGAGTTTATGTAAATATGAATCTTCCATATACCTGCCTCTATTTTAAATTGGTTTCTGGGCTTTATACCCTGGACACAAGGATAAGGCTTAAATGGATGTTATATGTTTCCACTACAATGTTATCTTGGATCTACTATATACGAAACATTAATATAAACTGACACACCAAAGAAGGAATTATAAAATTTGTTTTTGTAAGGATGGAGTAAATAAGCTTTAGAGAATAAATTTTTGCAAAATGTATAAAGTTGAAGATAAATGATCCCAATGACCCAGAAATTCCACTCCCATTAATCATCTTTTAGCAACTCTCACATATGTGTAGGAGGATATAAAGAGTGTTCATGGTGGCACAGTGCAAAAGGGGGAAAAATGGAAGTAACCCAAATAACCACTAATGAGACATTCAAACTGAACTACTATACAGCAATAAAAATTAAACAGCACTATGTATGTCAATCCCGATGGATACTGTAGGTGAACCCCACAGATATGACGCTGAAAACAAGGAAGTTGCAAAAGTAAACTACATAAATCAATAGTGTGCAAAAAATATAAACACACATTCCATGTGATGGCTATGTACTACACACACACATATCATGTGAAAGTGTAAAAGATTACACCAGAACGATAAACACCAATCAGGATAACAGTTAAAAGGCTTCAGCTGAGTTAGGAGAAATGCTTTATTTCTAAATCTAGGTAGATACAAGGATTTCCATTATTTTAGTTTCTAACTTTGTATGTGTTCAAATAATTTCAAAATAATTTTTTGGAAGAGCAGATCCATTTGTCAAGAGGTTAATCCTGCGCTCCCCACAGTAACCAACTGTGAGACACCGATCGTTCTCCTGGAAGATGGAGATTCACTTTTTCTCCCCTTGTGAAGTGTCTTGCCTGCATGGAAGGCAATGGCTCTTAGGTTCTTATGTTCAATAGCTCTTCCATGCTAGCAAGACACTTCACACGGGGAGAAAAAGTGAATTCTTCCCATTTCCTGGGTCATGCTCTGTGAGTTATGTCTGTCCGTCTCTTTGTACCAAAGCTACTGAGGAGTCATGCCAGCCCCTCCCTTTCTGGTGTACGCGGTCACGCACCCTCCAGGTTTCATTCAGCAAACAGCTTCTGCACCTGGAAGCACAGAGCTCTGGGATGCAAAGATGTGTGAGCACAGCCGCAGCACCCCAGTTCTGAGCCTCCATCAGGGACAGCCCATCACAGCACAGAGCAGTGAGTCTACAGCCAGAGTGAGCCAAGGCACTACCACAGCACAGAGGAGGAGCACAGAGAGCTTCTGGGAGGAAGTGTTCCCTGAGCCTCCTCTGAAAGCAGCGCTTTTCCGCAGATGCACACACAGAGGGTAGCGGATCAACCGGAGAGAATGAAGCAGGGTTACCAGAGTCCAAAGCCTGCCCTACTCTGCGGCAGGCAGAGAAAAGGATGGGGTGAGTAGCAAAGTCAGAGAGGGAAGCAGGGTCGGCCAGATTCAACTGTGGAGGACCCATGAACCCTGCTGCTAACAAGCCTGGACTGCAAATTACTCACCTTCAATGGGGAAGGGCCTCAGGAGCCAAGTGGGAAGGCAGTGGGGCCTTCCTGGAGGAGGGACTGGGGACTCTGTGTACTAAGAACAGGTCAAAAAGGGGGTGCAAAGAGCTTCCCACAGAGGGAGTGAAAGCTTGGGAGAGAGAGTCAAGTGCAGGTTCTGGACAATATTAATGGCTAAGTGTGCCTAAGGGGCAGGATGCACGGGGCAGTTATCAAGGACAAGGCTAAAGAGAAAGGGGGTGCCCAGCGCCCACACTCCTGATTATAACGAACCCCACTGACAGGCTGTTCAGGTTAGCACAGTCAGCAGTTGATGCTAAAAATGGCTCCCAGGTTTAAATCCCTGCTGCTGTTCATACCAGCACCAAGAAATACTTTCTGACACGCAGCCTAAGCCGCCCTTAGCTGAATCACATTCTGGCTGAGTCCACAGCCCTGAGCTTACTGGTGACTATCTTCTGGGGCTCCCATCAACCACCTGAGTTGTAGGCTCGCACTGCCCAGTCAACAGAGCTAAACAAGATGATTCTGCTACTTCCTTAGCTTCTTGGTGGCACTTCTTTAAACTCACTGCAACTCGCCTTCAGCAAACACTGTCACAAGTCAAGATGGATTATCACTGTTTCTCCTCCAGGAATGTGCAATAAATGGGTCGCACACTAAGTGCCTGACAATAATGATCAGAGTGACAGGCTAGAAGGGGAAGATAAAGAAATTAGCCAAGGATACAGAAAGGACCGATGCAGCACTGAAGCCAACAGTGCAGTGCAGAGAGCATTCAGGACAGCGGGAGAACCAAGGAGATAGCTAGGAAAGGATGCCTGAAAGAGGACTAATTCTTCTTTGAAAGTAAAACAAACCAAAGGCTCTCTTATTTCTTTAGTTGTTGAGCACCTATCACAGGCCAAGCACTGTATTAAGTGCTAATCTTAATCTGGCCAGATATGACCCAGAAGAATAGATTCTATCATGCTGGTGTATGCATGCCTCTCTCAGGAGTAATCAATCAATAACAGTGATCTTCTGATACAAGGTGAATAACAAGCAGCCTTGTGATTTAAAGCTGAAGAATAAATATGCACACACAGACATGCATGAAGAGCCACTCCGATTGTGCTTTACTTGATGAGAATAATTGTGTGCTAGTGAATCTATTACTAGGCAGTGAGCCAAAAAAGGAAGAAACCCAGACAGGTGCGTGGAGCCCATCGCCCACCCCTGAGTACTATGAGCCTGTGGTCTCGGCTCGCTGACTGTACTGGTACCGCTGCAATTGTATAAGCTCTTTAACAGCCTTCTGGTCCTGTATTCCCATGTGACAAGGAAGTTCCCTGAGCCTTTTTCTGATGAAGTGACACCAAGTTAGGTAGATAGGTCACTATGAAAGTTTTGAGACAGACTGTGCTATTGGCCCATTACTTCACTTCTAAGAAACACAACTGAAAGCATCCTTTCTGATTCACCTGTGCACATTTCAACTCACCGGGCTTATCAGTGTTGCTGGGAGGGCTTCATTTGTTTCTACGCACAAATTTTATGTTTCTTGATTTTTGTGCATCACAAAACTTTTGTAACGACCCACATATCACTTGACTTGCCATTGGCACTTGCAAGAATGTAGATTTATTTGTCCAAGGTAGTTTCAAGCCCATGTTCCAGACTTGGGTCATTAATTCAGTAAACAACCAGAGATTCACCAGCTTCCACAAAATGAACATACAAAATGCCCAAAGCCACTAGGGTTGGCAGCAGAGAGAAAATCTCCACATAAAAAGGAGTAGCTGAACCATACAGGTATTGTAATACAGAGAAGAAAAGGCAATAACCGATGCCCTTTAATGCAGGTGCTCTCAGAGCCTGCAGCCCCAACCCACACCCCTGTGTGCCCCTCTGGGCCCCTCTCCCTTCCACCTGGATTAGAGGTTGGGGATAGTTCTCGCACTTCTGCTCTCCTCAGAATGCAGGCCCGGGAAGGGAAGGCCTAGAAAGGAACGTTTGCTTTCCTCTTCCCTCTTGTGCAAAGTTCACGCTGCAGGTCTTCAAGGCCTAGCCTGGGATGAGGACATTGACAAAGTTCACACCCTTTGGGGAGCGACCCACCCCTACCCACAGAGGTGCGGCCTTACCCTCCCCATCAACACACTGGGCATGCTTCCCACAAAGTTTTTTTTAAAAGACACATCCCTAAAGATGCTTACGATATACATGGGGGGGGGGGTGTAAAAAAGACTGCGAACAAGGGTGTGAATGGGCTGAGATAGAAATACCTTGTAGGAGGGGTAGCAGCTTCTAAGCCATGGTGCTTGGATAAGTTGGGGAGATGTGATTGGGGAGAGCTGACTCCCAAAAGGCAAGTAGGAGCCTGCGAGCCAATGAGCGGAGAGCTGCCTCTAGGAAGAGGGCAGCCAGAGCAAGGGCCACAGCTTGTCCTTTTCTCCCTTCAGTGTGGGCCCTAATAACAGGGACCATGCTTCTCCATCTCCGTACTCCCCTCAGGGCCTAGTGTGGTGCTCTACCCTACTGGAAGCTCAGAGCATGATGACTGAGGGAATTCAATCAACATATCAGCTGCTATTTCTAATATATATCACACACCAATATGCCAATCTGAAAAGGATTCTCCCCGGGTCTTCATGAGGGCAAACACCAGGCTGGGCCAAAGATGGAATATTTAGACAATGCTATTTGTCCCATAAACAAAATCAGAAAGGAAAAAAATCACTTCACTAAAATATAATTTATATAAAATATACCTGAGTGCATACTGTTAGGTGAAAAAATAAATCAGTACTTACCTATGTCCTTTTTCCTTGACATACCACTCTGATCATCCAAATCCTGTATCTCAAATGAAAGAGAAAAAGATAATTCTCATCACATAACAAAGCTGGCAATACACTGAATAGACAGACATGGTACGAATTCACACTTGAAGGGAAGACGTGAAGACGGGAGCTTGGAAATCTCTGCTTAAGAAGAGAGACCAAACCTAAGGGGGACAAGGCAGCAACAATGGACTGGGACATCACGCCAGGCCTCTTAGATGGGGCTGTGCCCTTCTCACGTGACCATGCACAAGACACTTAGCTGGGCTGAAGCTCTTTCCTCCTGTGTAAAGCAAAGTGAATGTGTAACTGGTGGACAATGTGCTTGGGAAGGTTCATTTTTAAAAGCCTCACAAACTGTAAAGCATCACAAACATTATCAGAGAGAGCCTCAGATCTGGCAGGTGCTCCTCATGAGGAAGAGCTCTGCTAATTATTGTAATTAATAATTTGAGGGGATCACACATGCTATTATCAAGAATGGTACCACGATGCCTCTCCTACCTGAGAAGCAGCCACAGGGCCTTGGAGGAGTCACCAGAATTCATGAGCACAGAACAGGCGCCCCAGTGCTGGAGAGCTCCAGACACGGAAATCTGGACGTGGGCAAGGAAATACCTCACCCTGACTGTGTGATTCAAGAGGAAATCTCAAAGGATTTGTTTGGAAAGTGCAAAGCGTCGGCAGCTAAGTCTGCCACTTTCATTGTCTTCTCTACAGTCTAAGGAGGAATTTTCTCCCTAATTGCCCTTTTCTGCTTTCAACAGCCATATGCTATAATTATGACAATTGGATGGCAGCAAATATCCTTCAATTTCCTTCACAGACAGCGACAAGAAATGCGGTTGTGAGCCATTACCAACAAAATTGGCAGCAGCTTAAAAGCCAAGAGACGCATCCATGAAGAGATGTACCCTCTAAAAATGCCAAAGGCACCGTGACAATAGCCAGGGAGGAGAGAGGGCTAAACACAGGCTATCACAGGCCTACCTTCAGCAGCGCACTGTGAAATTATCTCTGTCTCATGAGTAGAAATGCCACTGAGTGGAGAAGAATCCAAAGTTACATGCTGACTTGTCAGCTCTCAGGACCAAGTAACACCTCACTTAATCCTGATAAAACACATAGCTTTGGGGGCCAGGCGTGGTAGCCTATAATCCTAGCACTCTGGGGGGCCAAGGCAGGTGGACAGCTTGAGCTTAGGAGTTCGAGACTGATCGGAACAAGAGTGAGGCCCCGTCTCTATAGAAAATAAAACATCAGCGAGGCATTGTAGCACACGCCTGTAGTCCCCACTACTTGGGAGACTGAGGCAAGGGGATTACTTGAGCCCAAGAGTTTGAGGATGCTGTGAGCTGTGATGCCAAAGCACTCTAGCCTGAGGCAACAGTGAGACTCTAAAAAACAAAAAAAAAAAAAGAATATCTATCTATCTATCTTTCTTTCTTCTGGGAGAACCCACTAAAAGACTGGAAAGATAGCCCACTTCTCTGACTGTACTGAGCCAAAGACAGGTTATCACCACAAGTTAACACATGTGGTGCCACCACTCTGACTAGGACGGCAACCAGGACCACCTTCTCAGGGAAGGAGCTGGCTTCAGAAGTGCCAGCAAGTGCCACTCGGCTGCCACTGTCACCCTGCTGCCTGCCCCAGGCCACACTGCCTTCTCCTGGGAGGCCACAGCTTTGGCTGGCAGATGAGGCTCGTGGAAAAATAGAATTGTTAGAGCTAAAACAGCCTTGGAGGTGATTCAATACAACACTGCCCTTTCACAAAGGAGACAACAGAGGCTCAGAAAAGAGAAAGGATTTTCCCAAGGCCCAACAGCTCTTTCAGCCACAGGCCCAGGACTAAATCCCAGGTCTCCCACTCCTTTCTAGGGCTCCTTCTTCACATCACCAGACAGCGTGTTTCCAGCCCTCCTGCTGAGACGCTCTCTAGGAAGTACATGTCATTAGATGGGAACATATTTTGAGAGAAAGCTAAAAGCAATACTGACAACAAAAGTCACCTTTTTCAACAAGTTGAAAAATGAAAAATATCCAGAACACTGTAGTTTCAGACTGAGCAACTTAAACAATCTCCAATGCCAACTGGACTAGAATATCTTTGTGAAATAAAAAGAAAAAAACCAACACACGTTATACATCTTTCTGTTCATTATCACACACTGCAGTTCAGACCGGCTGACACAATAGCCAGGAAATGATTAGCCATTTCAAATGGCTCAGTTTGTAAACTGTAAAAATAAAATCTCCAAGGAAGAATTGAATTAGGTGAATTGAGATGGAACCAAAATGGTCTTGACAAATTTTCCCTTTGAGAAAGAAAGTTAGACCAAATGAATGAATTGACAGGATACTTAAAATTCTGTCTCACGCTTCCCTCGTGAAAAGACTTAGTTCTTCCAAAGAAGAAGACACATGGTTTATTTTATGATTTCTGCTGCCACATATTTCTTATCCTATCAATATAAATCAGAATGTGCTCACCGCCAAGGTTCTATAAGTCAACTGAATTGCTACTCAGATATGAAAGAGATTTGTTATTAAAGCATCTACCCCACAGATGGTTCCTAGTTTCCCTCTAACAGAAAGTTCACTTTTTAAACTGCAATGAATTAAAACACTTGCAATCCATATATGTAATGCTTAGGTTTTAAGTTCTTCATTAAAAGATACAACATCATTGAAAGAATCTGATATGAACTCTTTTAAGTGGCAAGAGGTATAAGATGGAATCTCCAACCCAATCATCCTGATTCTTCACCACCACCCTCTAGATCACTGATTTTCCACTGGTGTGCCACCAAAATTTTAAAAGAACATTATTAAATTAGTTTTGAAAGAAGTTCAAAGCACCATAAGTTTTCTTTTTTTTTTTTAATCAACATAATTATAGTTTAACTGTAGGTTCAAGTGCGCTATGAGATAAAAAAGGTTGAGAAACACTGTTCTAGACTCTGATGATAAAAGATGCACAATGCACTCATCAGCACACTCAGCTGAAGTCTGAGGCTCGTGCTCTAATTCCGCCACCACCACTTATTAGCTCAGGCCTCAGTTTCCACAGTTATAGGAATAATAATTACAAGGCCCACTTCACAGGGTTGGGTTGTAAGTTGAATGACATGCACACAGTGTGTCCTCAGAGCAAATACTCAGTAATCACGGGCTGCTACTCCTTTTACCACCACTGTCGTCAACTACTGCTTCATAGGAAGTCAACTATCACCATAAAAGAAATTTAACTGATAAAAAGTTAAAAAGCAGGTCAACAGTTCCTCTTTTTATTTTAATTTGTGGCTTATGTAACCTCTTGAAAGTCCGCATATGATATTTCCTTTTGTCTTATCAGATAAACTTTTAAATGGGACCGGGTACAGTTCTAAGTGGTAAACACACACACATACTCCCTCTCTCTCTTCATCTTTAAAACAGCTCTTTGAGGTAGGTCCTATTCATCCCATCTTACAGATGGGGAAGCTGAGGCACAGCAAGGCTCACTGAGTCCCTAGCTGGTCAATAGTGAAGAGATGAAATGCAGTACTTTGGCTCCAATGACCAGCACTTCACAGGGGGCCCCACATCACAAGCCATTGTGGGATTTAAGGCCAGACAACACTGCAGGCTGAAGACCAATGGTGGAGGCAGCACCTAGGGCCTAAAGGACAATCCTGGAGAGGCAGGCTCCCCTGAGACCCAGCAGTAACTGGGGAAATTAGGCCCAGACAGCAGCATCCCAGGGCACTAGGAGCAGACAGGACTGTGATGAGAAGTCAAACCTCAGTCCAACCATTAAGCTTGGATGTCTGGGGAAGAAATCAGCCCCAAGAAGGGCTGTGCTGTCTTTAACACACAGCCCTGCCTGGGGCCCCTAACTAAAACTTACAGGGTGGAGAAGTGGGCAGAGGGTGGCTATCTCAGCACAAGGATGGCAGGCCAGATCCTGGTCAATTCTGCAGTAATAAACGAACAATATGTTATTGTTCAGAGCCTTAAATACCATGTCCTGGTTCATCTACAGACTCTGGACAACTTTGGATGCACTGACTCTTCCCCATCTTCCAGTCTCAGTCCACTGCACAGCAGACATTCCTGCCTCTCCTCCTGGCGATGCAGCCCCAAACAGATGCAGTTAATGACCTAATTCAAGTGTTTTACTTAGTATCTTTTCATGAAAACTGACACTTAGCTATGACTCACCTTACCTATCTCTATTTATATTTACATATGTATTTAAAGCAAAGGATGCAATTCTCATACTTGAAAATTCCCTTGTAATAATCCTTAGGCAGCACTTTAAATCCATCACAAATGATGCTCACTATTGCCAAACACACCTACTGCAAAGCACGGGGCTGAATGATATAAAACAATACAGTGTGAAAAATTGAAGGATTCAGAAAACTTGGATTCTAACTTTACGTTTTAGTAATCATGTGATCCTGGTCAAATCACTTAACTTCTCTGAGGCTAAATTTTCTCTATTGCAAATGGGAATACCTGCTTAGCCATAATGGGATCATTGAGAAGAACAAATTAAATAAAACGTGTGAAAGTGCTTTATTAACCATAAAAGGTCTTAAAATCATAAGAAATTATTATCACTTTCCCTGTGTAGGACTCCTTTAGTATAGTAAGAACAGATAATACTCTATTGATAAAAGAAATATTCTATTAAAAATAAAAAGCTCCTTCTATCATTACCCAAGAAGCAGCAGGGTGCTGGTGATAAACGTACCAATTTGAGCACTTGCTAACAATTAGGCAGGCTTCCTTTTCTGTATATATTCTTATATACAAAATATACTCATTTCTTCAGAGAAATTATGTGTTTGTGTATATGCACTGGTAAGCATTTATTTATCCAAAGGGCATTATGCTTATGAATTAAAATACAGAGATCTGATGGTGTAGCAGGAAACATTAGTAAGTTCTCAGCTGATACAGTAATTTTCTATTGCTGTATAATGAACAATGCCCATTTTTTTAGCACTCAGTTCCGTAAATCAGGAAAAAAAGAAGTTCTTACACCAACTGTGGGGTAAAAAATAGTCAACTGAGTTTTAATTAATATAAAAACAACTGATATTTTAAAATATTGCTTCTCTTTCTCACATGCTAAGCCCAATGGGTAAAAGTGCAGAGGAGGTTCCTGAATGAACCAAAGAGAAGCAGCAGCTACTCTGAGACTGGACGGCCGGTCCTTCTGTCCATCAGTCCCCAGGCCGAGGTGTCTCATTCTGACTACACAAGGAGTCTGGCAGCCCAGTCCTCCCTGGGGTCTCCTGCCGGGTCCCCAGCACGCCCTCTCATACAGCACCTACAAGGTGACAGTAATCAGGTATCCTCTGTGAGACAGCAAAATCCTGTCACAGACTCAGAAAATTAAGCCTGAGATTAGGAAACAATAAGACTGGGGGAAACTGAGGTATCCAAGCATGACTGCTAAACTGGCTAACACTGTGTCAAAACACCATTCTTCTTAAAAGGACTTGAAAACATACTGATCTTGGCCTGTAATCCTAGCACTGGGAGGCTGAGGCGGGTGGATCACTTTGAGCTGCCGTGTTCAAGGCCAGTGTGAGCAACAGCAAGATCCCCTCCTAAAACCAGAAAAACTAGCCAGATACTTGTGGTGGGTACCTATAGTCCCAGCCACTTGGGGGTGGGGGGATGAGGCAAAAAATTATTTGAGCCCAGAAGTTTGAAGTTGCTGTGAGCTGTGATACCTCAGCACTCTATGAGGGGCAACAGGGGGATATGAGGGGCAACAGGGGGAGCCTCTGTCCCAAAAAAGAAAAAAAAAAATCCTAGTAGATCTGCCTCAAGGAATTTCCGTTTAAACAAGTCTACCTACAAGTAGGTGTTAGGGCTTCAAACCACGTGTTGACCAAAGTTACATTAATTCATATAACAAATAAAATAAAAAGAACATGATAACATCTAAAGAATGAAATCACTGCAGTTCCCATTCAAGAAAACACAAATCTCAGCAGAGAGGAGTAGATCTCACCACTAGAATTAGTACCTGAGCCTGCGTGACCTCTTTCTTTTTATCTTCCGAAACCAAAGCAAAACCTGGAAAAAAAAATACATTTTTACATTAAAATTAGCAATTCAGGTTCATTCTCATATCCAATAGTTTTTCTCAGGAGGAAAGAAACACGCTTTAATACGACGTATTTTGCTCCTGTTTAAGTAGCTGCATTGCTGCAAACTAGTACTACTGGCTTTCTTCATCTCAGACCTAAAATTATTCCTCAACATAAAGCCAACATGCTTAGGCTACCAAGCAAAAGAAATCATACCTCAAACAAATTAAGATCTATGCACCATTTGTGTCTGTAGATACAAACTACAAAACACATGTACACAAAATACTACTTCTTAGAAACCTCAATTTTGGTGCCTTTTTAAGCAAAGGAGAATTCCTGAGAATCCAGAGGGAAGAAGTACAATTTCCCACCCTCACAATCACTGCCAGAGCCTGGCAGGCAGCAGAGCTAAATTTGGAGCGAGTTTTTTCTTAGGGGCTTGTGGGGTTAGCAGCGTGGTACAGATACTGCTACCAGCAAACACAGAATCCTACTAAATCCTACCAGAACCTACCAAGGCAATGAGACCAGGAGAATGGGAGGAAATTAAAATCATTCCCTACCTAGAGCGATTTAATAAGTTTTTAGTCAGAGGCCATAATAGACAAAGATAGCCCTAGAGATACATGTAAGGTCTGCAATAAAAATAATTATAGCAACATGATAGGAACACTTAGAAAATACAAAGAAAAATGATAAGCTAAACAGTTAGCTTAATAGGACAAAAAATAATACCTTAACCTTACACAGCATTCCACCTGAAGAGGGAAGAGGAAAGCATGGCATAGAGTTTGCTTTTTCCAGTTGCCATTCCCAGAAAAAAACAGCAATGCCACACAGCAGTGATGTACTAAAAGGGTCAGGGGAGGTGACACCACAGAGCAATAACAGGTGTCAGTGGCAGGGCTCGCTGGGTGGTTGGGGAGACCCGAGTCAGATGCAGGAGACAACTTCACCCATTTGGATCCCTTCTAATTCCCTGCCCAGCTCCACCTTCAGACATCCACTACCTCAAATTCTCCATTAACATTTGCTTAAAGGAAATAATCTAAAACACTTTCACACTAAGAACCAAATGACTAACATAGTTTAATCGTTTCCATTTCCAGAATGACATTTTGAAAGGTAGGGTGAAACTGAAATGTAATCCAGGCGAACCTCTACGTGAGGAATTTAGATAACAGCAGACAGAACACGGCCTGCCTGAGATCACCTCATATAAAACAGTAAATCCCAACTTCACAGCCTCCTGATCCACCTCACTCTGCTTCACTATCCTCCAGAGCATTGACTGCCAGCTGACATCAGACATGTTAAAATACCTTTGTTATATATGTATCAGTTTGTTGTAAGTTCCAGAGGGCAAGAATATAGTTTTATTTAACCCCACACCAAGAACACAGCAAGCACACAGGGAAGCTCAATAAATATTGAATGAATGAATGCAAGTCTTCACTATGGCCCTAGGGTCATGCCACTTAAAGGTGGCAGCATCAGCCCAGAAGGAGGAAGGAGTTAAGTGTCCCTTTGTTTATTTATTTATTTATTTGAGGCAGAGTCTCAAGCTGTCACCCTGGGCAGAGTGCCATGGCATCACAGCTCACAACAATGTCAAACTCTTGGGCTTAAGTGATTCTCTTGCCTCAGTCTCCCACGTATCTGGGACTGCAGGCATCCACCACAACGCCCAGCTATTTGGTTGTAGTTGTCATTGTTGTTTTGCAGGCCTGAGCTGGATTCGAACCCACCAGCTCCCGTGTATGTGGCTGGCGCCCTAGCCACTGAGCTATGGGCACTGAGCCCCCCTGAAATAACTTAGGGGACCTGGAAAAATAGACTTGGACCCCCACTTAGGTTAATTAATTGGTAATTTATTTTACCTGTTGCAGGGGCTGCTGCTCTGAGAGATAGTCAGCACCCGGTAAGAGTATGAGTTACCTTTTATAGGCTTTGTGAAATGTGGCTGGTTAAGGAGGGTTACAACTCAGGTAGTCATAGATACAGCAATGGAACAATAATTAATACAGTTTCAGTTGACAATGGACACATTTCATATCACAATGGTTATGGTTATACAACAGTAATTAATCAAGTCTCAGTGAGTTTTCTACCATTGTTCATCTACTGAGAACTTGGGGGTTTTGTGAAACTTGGGACTTTTTTTCCTTGTACCTGAAGCTTGTTCTTGACAACACTAGGAGGAAGAAGGGGGCCTGGGAATGTGGCTGGGAAGCACGTTCTCAGCCACCCTAGGGGGGAGGCAGGACTTGCCTTGTTCCTGGAGTCGACTCTGGGGGGAGAAGAGAGGAGGAGGGAAATGGGCTGGAGAGGGTGCGGGGAACAGGTGAGGGCTGGGGAACAGGAGTGGGCAGGGGAAAGAGGGCTGGGTTACAACATCCCTAATTTACTTTTACCAGCATCTAATTCATTTTCTTACTTTTTGAACGCACATGCACACACACACACACAAAAAGCAAATTCCAAACCATGCATCAAGTTCTAAGAAGAAAGGAGAGACTTAACATCAAATGCCATTTAGATTCTGCTCCTGGTACTTAAATTTTTTGTTTTGTTTTGTTTTTTATTTTATTTGCCTCCAAGCTAATACACACATTTAAAAACCTCAAGAAGATATCAAAAATAGAATTATTTAATGAATATCACAGAGGGGGGTTGCAACAAGTTAACACAGCTTAGCACCACAGCTCCAGAAAACAGAGCATTCTGAGAACTTGCAGGATATAAAAACTGTGATCAAACTAATGTATGACTTCGATTCAAAAATCCATCTCCCCCACCCCAATCAATCCCTAATTCCAAACACTGCCAAAGACCTACAGGTTAGAATTTCCTGTTTTGTCCAGTAAAATAACTTTTTCAATTTAGCAGATTCAGCAACATCATCTAATAACCAGAATTTACTTTTTTACCTCACTTTTCCGCAAGGCCAGATGGCTATACAATCAAGTATATGTGAACACAAAAGCCACCCAGCCTTCACAATACAGACTGAAGTGAAGGAAAAGTATCTTTATTTGGTGCTGGTCCCGAAAATTACTAACGCATCACCTTTCATAAGGAAGCAGCTAATACATGAAAATGTATCTGTTTAAAGCAGGAATTACATGGAGGGAAGATACCACCAATAAATCAAATGAATCCCACAAGGCCTGCTTATCAGAATCACAAGCCCTGCTTTATGCAGACAAGGCTCCAATGAGCTCAAGTTAAACTATATTCTAGTTCCAGCCCACAACACACAGACCTGGAGTTAAAATATCCTTTAAAAAAAAAAAAAAGAGCCTGTCATGTCTGCCCATCACACTGCTATGAAATTAAAAACTTCTTTTTCCCATGATAGATATAAATTATATAATATTCAAGCAATGACATAAGAAATGCAGCAGAGATACTTTCAATCCTAACAGCAAATCATAAGGCAAGATAATCTTCATTAGATGAATACTAAAAAGAAAGTGCCAATCGGTTTCGTATGTACATTTCCACAGTCTAAGTAAAACAAAAGAACCATTAAGGAACCAAATGTATTTTGAAGGCACAGAATATGCTATACCATTAATAAATCCAATCTTAAAATAATGAATCATTTATAGAAGCTCTCCCAACAAAATCCTGGCTTCATGGAAATAAAGGTGATATGGTGCTCACAGGAGGAGAAAGTGAGACAAATTAGCAAGGGAGGTAAAAACTGCCTGTCACCTTCAACACGTCTAACAAAAGCGCCCTTTGCTAATTTAACACTCTGGGCCTGGATTGGTGAATGTGAGGAGGAGGGAGGGACAGACCCCCTTCTTCACCCAACCACAGGTGCACAGAGAGCTGGTCACCTGGGACTCAGTGTTTGCTATTTACTTTCATACTAACTTCCAGAGTCAGCAGGGGAAAATAGTCTTGAAAACCTGGCCTTAGTACACTAATGTACCATTGGCGAAATATTCGAAGGGAAATCATGCTTTTCTGTACCAAACTGTTGTTTACACAAAGTAATTTTCCTTTTTTTATTTTCAACATGAGTTCTGGTGTTTGGCAACAGAGAACTATATTTAAAGTGCAAATCAGGCAGGCAATAGAAATCGGACCTTTTTCGTGATAACTTTAAATAATTCAAGCCAACAAATGTGTTAGCACACCCATAGAGGGAGATGAATCAAGTATTTTACAACTAACCTGGGACTAAGATTTCTAGGCCAGCCTAAGCCCCAGGGTGTGAGAAAACTGGCCCGTAATTAATTGCTCTGCATTTGAGCAATAGCTAATTAACAATCTTTCCCTGTTCCAGTGAGGGAGCAAGGGACCCCACTCCTGGGCAGGAATGACGACTGTACCTCCTATCTCCTAAATTGACTTTGTTCCTGTTCTCCTGATTCATCTTCCCAAACTCTCTTAGAAACACCTATCACAGAAACCACACAAAATACAAAAAAACAAGAAACCCACTAAGGTGCAAATCACCCCACCTCTGGGGGTCCAGCAGGGTACGTGAGCCCAACACGGAGCATTTAGCATTGCAACAGCTGGGGATACTGATGGCTGCAGTCACACTGTCGGTCTGGGCAGTGTCTAGGTACCCATGCCTGCCCACAAGCCTGGAGAGAGGATAAAATCTGGTGCATGTGGCTCTGCCCTCAAGCCACAGCTCATGGAGACACCTCCTGGAAGCCACACAGCTCAGGCTCCCATTCCTCCCACTACACTGGGAGGGAAGGCCTTTGGGGCCTCACTTTCTGTCCTGTGATCTACTTACAAAACATGTCCCCAGCACAGCAGCTCCAACCACCCACAGCTCCCTCTCCCTGGAGCTTTCCAGGATAAATCCTAGGTCCTGGATACCTCAGGCTCCAGGACACACAGCCCACAGCCAGTTTCCTGGTTTCCAATGGCTGCTTTGAAGATGATCCATGGCAACAGAAGACAGAAACAAACACACCCACAGCCACGACAGGGGTAGGGTCTGCC